ATAAGTGTGTTCCAATAATTTGGGCCGATTTTAAATCTGAATATATATTTAAATGTGAATAAAATAGAGGCAAAACAATTCTGCTGAGGGCTAAAGTCTGTAACTGGATTTTAAGGTTGACCAATATTTTTACTAAAGTTGCTGAAGAGGAAGCGAAAGATTTTTTTTGTGAAAATTTGTTGGGCGTAAATTTTGATGGGCAGAATATTAAGGAAAAAAAGGGTACAAAAATAATGGAATTTCATCAAATCTACAATAAAGAGAAGATATTATAAACTAATTTAATGTCTTTATAGATCTGTAAATATGATTAGAGGCAGTTAAGTTAATAAGAGTTAATCAGAAGCTTAATCTCTAGATGGAAATCCTCAATATTAGAGAAACAAGAAAAGTATTCAATTTAACACTTAATGAACAAAAAGGAGTTCAGTTCCGAATCCAACGAAAGAAATAGAAAGACTTTTTAAATTTAAATATAAAACTTGTTAACACAATGTTCGGGTAGTGTACCAAATATTGATACCAATACTTCATAAATAATGGATTGTTCTGTTTTGATCACATGGAAAGTGGGGTAAAAGACACACACACACACACACACACACACACACACACATATATATATATATATATATATATGTGTGTGTGTATATGTGTGTGTGTGTGTTTATCTTATATATATATATATATATATATATAATGAGCGTTCCAATAACTTGGACCAATTTTAATATGAATTAAGTTTAAGTGTTTAAAGATTTTTTTCTTTTACTTTTAGATTTGCCGGACATTTGGGCGATATTATTTTTCACACATAACTGCCATGACTTAAATAACATGATCCAATAGAGAAATAAACAAATTTTCACTAATAACACTGATTTATTTACTTCTGACTTTGATCCGTCTTAATGAAACACCCTTATATATAATTAGTCTTAACGAAATACCCTCAATATGTGGAATGAACTGTCAAGACCATCGATGATTTCTGTCTTCCGGCATTTTCTCTAGTCAGGCAGTGTACTATATGATTAAAAAAATCGGATTATACGCCCATTAAGAACATAGGCGATAATCGCTTTCCACGGCTTCTTTTTCTTTGTTATCTATGATTTGCCACGATTTATTTGGAAATATACTGAAGAGTATACGCGTTGCTTTCTCTTCTTTTTTCTTCTTTTATCTGACGTGTCTCTTTAGGATACAGGAAATCATGTCTCTCCACTTCTTCCT